CTTGAATCTGGAACTTCATGTCAATTTACCGAAGACCGTTGCATTGATAGCATATTCGGATACGCATTCTGGGACCTAACAGAATTTCAAGCATGCCAAGCCAGCAAATATATACTAATCTATATTGAGGACCCATCATTAAAGTAACAGAAGTCGGTAAGGAACGAAGGCCACTTTACGTATTGAATTCTGAGGATATATCTTTTGCTTTCAAAGATCTTGGTAGAATGATACAGTGCGGTTTTGAAATTATTAAAACAGAACAGCCAAGATTATTCATATTAGAAAATAGGCTCGTTAAACATTTCATTTCTAACAAAGTTAAAAATATGCACGATCTGGATTGCAAAAAAACTTTGCAATTGTCGATTTTGCATCGTAAACAATAAATTTCCTACGCTCGTGACGTCACGCTCCTTATATGGTCTTGTTTTCGCCGAATTGCTCTAACACATTTACATATATGTGAGAAGGGCGCTTTCGCTTAATTACCGCTTTTCTTTGGTTTTCTAGTAAACGATGGGTTGCTATTTTGCAGTAGGAAAAGGGACAAATCAGACTGGACCGTTACAGTAAATTCGAAAATTTTATTCGTTGAAAAAGATTAAAAATCACCTGCAAAAATTATACCATGATATACTATTACAGTAATGCGAATTAGAAAGGAAAGTTATTACAAACACATTAAATATTGCCATTTCATCACTAGATCTTTTAGCATATTATTTAATGAAAGAATCCGGATACTTGGCCATGATGGCGGGTAAGGTAGTACACATTATCAAATGTGTAACAGCAGAAGTCAAAACTAGAAAAGCTGAAACGTACTACCAAGAACTACCGGTCATGCGCGGCGAGATCCCAATGTTCATCATACCTCAAACGCATATAATAAAACAATACTGAACCAAAACAGCTTGCGATACTAAAATGTCAGTAATGTATAAATTCGGTGACACATGGGTAAAGGTCATTCCGGACGTCACTAGCCAAAAAGCTCCGCATGTAATCAAACCTCAGACCACGCAAAGTTGGGAATATTATAGCCCCATAAACACGGGAACAAGCAGAATCTACACATATAACGATATCGAACACCTTCGTATGTTTATTATGTTCCCTACAGAACGGAACGCGGTCCTTAATCAAATCGCGCTCAGATTCGCTGGAAAATCCAATTTAGCTTCGGGAATATCCATATCTAAACTACTTGACGAGGATACTCTGAACCGTATTGCGAATTCCACGTGGGAATCGCTATGGAGTCGATTCATTACGTTCGGATCAACGAGCGCCGCTGTTTTGGCCATCTTTATGATATTTAGAGTAACTAAATTTGTCCTTGATACCATTATACATGGTTATACCCTTCATTTCCTCTATGGCTTTAGCATACACCTGCTTGGCGTATTCTGGAACTCTTTAACTAACTTGCTACATTACCTAGCTAGGAAACCTGAAAGAGAAACAAATACAGAAAAGCTAAGCAAGTTTAAGGTAAGGAAAGTTAAGGAAGGTAAGGAAAGGTAAGGAAGCCCCGTCGACAACACAGCTCGAAGAACGAACCGCTATCTTTAAATCAATCAACTAACCCAGAAACTAAGATACACACAGAGACAGATCTATCTAGTATTATCGGAACCAGAAATTCCATCATTAATCAACAAAACATAAAAATCAACAATAACTATATGTCTGAAAGCATGGATCACAGAACGAAAAAAAAATTACTAGAAGACTTAATAATAGAAAAAAAGAGACTAAGTGTGTCAATACAAATGTAGGAAGAACCGCAATGGAATTTGGACACAGAATAAACGCATATTTACAAAAATACATTGTCTTGGGAAAGGCTGCGCAAATATTCTTATTTGAAGTAACAGAAAACGAAACTCAGAGAGAAAAATTAACTATTTACATTTTTATCAAGGACCTCAAACATCAAATCAGACGTTACGTTTACCCTTTTACTTTTTACGACAAATTACAAGACGCACGTTTACATGCCGTACAAATAGAAAAAATCTAATAGACATCAATCGCATCAAAAGAAATTTAATCCGCCCCATATCAGAGTCTTTTATAAAATAACAACACTGAACATTATACGAAAAAAAACAACTGTTTTGCATTATTTTTCTTTGTTAGGATACCGACAAGTAACTACAAGACATTGCAGTAGCCACCGGCTTCTAACAAACTCTATAATCACAAACACCGAAAGACCTCACTTGTTATCAGTTTCCTTCCGTAAAATTCCACAAAAAAGACACAAAAATAACACTAATGAACAATTACCCCCCAGCAAAGTACCTCCTACTGAAAACACATTGCGAAACAAGCCAAACATAATGGAAGCAGAAGTTACTTATTACATCAATAATAACTTTTCACCTACTTGCACGAACTGTCATAGGGCCCTACCCATACAACAACAATTATCATATAACCTTGTCTACGTTAAAATCATTGGCTCTCACAAACCACCATACGCCATACGATGCATTAAATGCACAGACTGCATACATCATGTCGTTCGACAGTACCCCAACTCATTTCCTAAACCACCCGTCATAAGCAGCTTTTTACCTTTCCGAACAAAAAACATTCGCTCTTTAAAACAATTTCACAAACACTACTCTGACTGCTTACACATACCCATGAAGTATATAGCAGAGATAAGAGGCATCTTTGAGAAATGCACAAAATAAAACGCGCCTACACAAACAGATTACACCACTAGTTATCACCACAACGTCCAAGATAAAAATACAATGCTCAGCGAGCTACTCAAACTTAATACTAATGATCCTTCTGACACGTTCCCACGAGTGGTACCATTCCTACTCCGTAGAAATAATAACACCTCCCCAATCACACTAATAAACATTTTTAACCAAATAAACAATTGGGAATGGATTGAGCATTTCAACAAAATTGCTGTCAACGCAAGACAAAAATTTCAATAATAACTATTCCAGCTAACATTAGCAAAATGCTGTTACCCAGAGTACTTTTCATCAGTCTACTAACTACTGTTATATGCCAAAATAAGCCAGCTACAAAACAATATGATAGTCAACCTGGAATCGCTTTTGAAAAAGGACCTACTATACGATTTATTCAAGAAAAATGGAATATTATCACCGCTCTTGACATCAACTCAGTACCTAACTCACATTATAATTACATCCAAACACTGGAAAAAATATCTGCAGCTTGCAAGACAATCGAGATAAACGATTTCATCAAAAGTTCTATATACACAGCCTACGAAGAAACAAAAAAACTCCAACACATCAACGAAGCAGTCAGCACCTCTCTCAACGCGTACGCTTTTAACACACCCAACGGGGGGCGGGATGCCCTAGCATTGCCAGACAGCCTCTTACTCGAACATGCCGATAAGGTCCTTTAAGATGTTTTGTATATGCGCGAGAGTGATTTAACCGAACACATGGGCGAGTATGACTTATCTTATATCAGCGAAAATAATTTACAATCAGAAACAAATCTTTTGCTTTTTAGAAAAACTCGCGCAGATTTCATTACTAGCGCAATGAGCCCAGTATATTCTACACACATTAGCCTTATTTTAGCCGAAATTAACGACATGTTACATAAATTTATTTACATATCAACTGAAGTACGTCAAATCCTGCAAAACAAATAATTTTCTTTTCAATCTGTAATTTTTGCTAAACGCAATAAAAACTATCAGGGCAATTACTAATTCAAAGTTGCCAATACATATGTCAAAAATTCATTTCATAACACTACAACAAGTTGCAAAAGTTAACGTAGTTTACTTTCGTAAGAACATCATTGTCGAAGTAATTTTTTCCCTTGTCGCAAGCAGCAATACGCAGAGTTTCAAATTATATTCACTACTAGTATTTCAGTATCTTAACGAAACTAACCGAGTCGCTAAATTCATTAGACCATAAAGTGATTACCTGACTGTGACAGAGGAAGAAACGACCCACGCCTTTGTAAGCGAAAATTTTATTGATATCAAGTGTATTTTTTCCTTTTACCTGTGCCCGCACCCAACTATACGCAAATCAAACAATAATTCCTGCGAGTTTAATCTGTTAACATCACCGGAAGAGTCAAATCTTGTATTTTGCTAACTTGAGGCTAGCTCCGAAACTGACTACTACCTTATACCGACGTTACAAAATAATGATTTGTTATACTCTGTGGCCCCCAATACTTCTTTTGATGTAAATTGTAACGGCATACAGCCCATTCTCTTGAATAGCACTGGATTAATACAGATTCCCCAGTTGTACGAACTTAGTACCACGATATTGATTTGGGGGTTAAGAAAAAACTAAGGGCAGAAAATTTTGTGATTCCAAAAATTTCTCTGATGACTACAAACGAAATAATAATAAAAAGCCCAAAAATAAATAATAATCAGAACAGATACGAACACTCGGACCGTGTGAAACTATTACACGCGTATTTAGCGTTAGGAGTAATCATTGTAATCGTTATAGCATCCGTAATAGCAGTAAGTTGCATACTCTGCGCGTATAGAGTGTACAGTGACAAAGGCCATAGGTTCGAAAATATACCGATGCAAGAACTGAATCAGCCTTTAAACCCTCAAATAAGAATAATCTGCACAGACATTACTTGACGGAAAGTATTTTAGGCCACCGATTAATTACGACACTCTTCACTCCATACCCATAGCCGTTCAAGTAATCCCACTCCTAGAATCCGAAAGAAAAGACACTGAACCACCACTCTCCACTTTCTAAAAAAAAGGTTTAAAAGAACTAAACATACCTCCTGTCATATCAGATATATGAGTATCATAGATATCAGTCATCAGCACCATGAAGTGCATCGCATCCACCGCACTCGGCCCACCACACAAAAGGGCAAACTGGTCCTGCACACTGGAAGAGATTCAGAAGGTCAGGATGTCAACAACCGTTATGGACCGATTGATGTAACGGTGGGGGAACCGGGAAGCTCAGATGACCATGGAGCATCCCGAGTTCCCACAATTCGACGAAGAAGAAGGCTGGAGCTACCACCAGCTAACCGAGTATATCTTTAGAGAAGTTCAACACGGGCACTTACACCTAAGCTTTCTATTTAAAGAAACCTACAGTGGTAAGGGGTTCGGGGAAGCTCCGTTCCATCCGTGCCGCCGCTGCGGATAGGATACCGCACACTGGCGAGGCTGCTTTTACTGCCGAGCAGGTGTGGCAGTCACACCGACGAACCAACAACTGGCCATGGAGGCCGAATGAATCCGTCCTGAACACTTTATGCTCCATAATGCTCCTTGCGCCAAATGTATCGGCAAGGAGATTCTATTTAGATTTCAGCGAAACCTGTAAGTTCACCGCTTAGAACTGTTGTAATCCTCTCCCTTCTCCTTCCTATTCTAAATAAATAAATAAATAAAAAAAAAACAAAAAAAAACAAAACCAACACCACATAAAAAAACAAACAAACTATAAATAAAAAAATAAATATATTGAAATAAGATAAATAAAGAGACACATGTGATGTTCATATCACTTATAAATAATAATTCGTACTCTCGTATTTAGTTGCGTTAATGAGTAAGAATTCGTTTCTAGTAAAATTAATCTAATTTTCAATAAAATAAATTGATAAATCAAATATATACGATTATGAATAATGTTTCAAGGAAAGTCAGACGATGCCCTAGTTTCTTATGGTGCGAATTGTCCCATGAGCAGAGGTAAAGTCTTTCTTGGAGAGGATATATTTCGGCCCAAGTTTCTTATAGCGCGAGATGTTCTATAAGTTGAGCTCGAATTATAGGAAAGGAAAAGTTTTGCTCAGATAATCACAATGAAAGAAAAAACTTAGGTATTAGCCAAGTTTATTCAATCTCATGCGCTCACCTTGCAAGGCTAAAAGTGAATACCAGCCTGTGCAATAGTGGGCGTATTTATACACAGATTTTCCCGCCTATTTTCGCAGGAGAGTTCTCTTCGAGAAGTTTTCGAATATTCGAGAAACATTCACGAATTTTGAGAAATGAATTTTCTTAATTTACAAGTAAATAAACATCAATACTGAACTTTCAACATATGTGAACTTCACAGAATTAGTTATTGATTGATTTAATATAATTTACAATTATCACAAATAGTATCGTCAAAAGTTATTAACTAATAAAGTTAATTAATGTAATATTACAATATTTAAAATAGAGAATTATTAAATTTTTACATAACTTTATCGTTTATTAATTTTAGAAGTAATTTCTAAAAAAAAATATTCAAGTTAATTAATAACATTTGAATTATAATAAATTTTCATATTTGTAACGGTTTTTTCTGTAATTTTAGAAAACAATTACTAGATTAATTATCTAAGATTTATAAATTATAAAGCTATCATTATTAAGTATAAAATTAACGCTCTCGTTTTATATACAACTTATTATTTAAATAAATTATTAATTATTTATTTATTGATAACAGTTATTATTAAGCTGTTATTAATGAAACCAATTCTTACTCATGTTCTTTAGTTATTCATTTTGAATATGGACTATTTACATTTTTCTAATAATTCATATTTATAAAGTAATAAATAAATTAACTTTGCATATTAAAATTCATTATTATTTAAAAATTAAACGCAATTTGGATTACTATATTCTAAATCTACGTACTAAAATCTATATAAGAAATACTTTGTTACATCAAAATTGCATCTAATTAACATATTTTTCTGAAATAACAATAATTATTATATCTATATCTATTACTTTGTGACGTCACAATCGAATGATCGGTGAGGTGTCGCCGTTTAAGGGTGTATTGGCTATACAATCTTAGCCAAAAGTTAATGAAACTAACAAAGTTAGTATTTAAAGGCTTTGACTGTCTGTTTGTGCTGATAAAATCCTACATATAAATAGTAAAAACGTATAATTTGACATTAAAAACGTTTTGGTAAGGTAAAAAGCAATATTATTGTTTAGAATATTAATACTATTACTTATGTGTCACAAACTTTTGAGAATGAATTCTGCAGGGTTTCAACTTCGAAAAACAAAAAAATTAACTTTTTATTAATAATATTGAGAAGTATTAAATGCCTATATATAGCTGAAGAACTAAAAATATATGTTATCAAGTGAGAAAATAGTTGCAATAATACATATTTGCAAGTTTTACAATGAAATATATACTTTGAACTGAGCATGGAAATCGTGGCAACGCTGTACGCTTCAAGAATTTCGATTTCTTATTTTGACTACATTGGTTCAGAAGCGTCACCTCAGTTCTCAGTCATGTGTTGCACGCATTACAGGTTACTGACGATACCGTCATGAGTACATCATGCACTGCATAAAAACATTTAACTTTAACACTGGTGTTTAACTATAATTACAAAAATGCCTAAAGTGAATAAAATCAGACATTATTGGAAAGGCAGATTAGTGAGCGAAAAAATATATAAGCAGCGTGTAGCACAACAACAAAATGGTCGTAAATCACGCAAAAGGTTAGACGTTAGTGATAATGTTGAACGCGGTGCGAATAATGTTGAAAATACTCAAACTACTGAAAAACCAGAAGCTTTAAAACCCGGATAAGGCCGACGGATTGCTGAATTACTTTTTCTTGGAGAACAATTATGGTGTAATAGTTGTAAAGAATGTTTGTCGCTAACCAACATTGAAAACGAACAACGTCGAGGACTTGGCTCAATTTTATCAATTCGTTGCCACAAGTGTTTGTTGACAAACATTGTTACAACTAGTAAACAACATTCAAGCGCTATAAACCCTGACAGTGTCAATCGATTCGATGTGAACACAAAGCTTGCTCTAGGTAATAAAATCAGTCGCATAAATGTTATGAAAATTGTATTTTTATATGAAAAATATTAATAATTTGGTTTTTATTATAGGATTAATGGACAGTGGGATTGGGTTTACCAATTTCAATAAACTGTCAGCTACTTTAAATATACCACAAATAGATTTCAAAACATATAAAAGGTACGAAGAAGAAGTAGGAACAGCAACAGAAAGACTTGCCAAACAAAGTTGTGAAAAAGCTACTGAGTTGGAGCGTAAATTGATGTTGGAGAATCTTGAAAGTCTCAGACAACAATTGTAATTATTAGTACAGAATCAAGTGCATGTTTTGAAATAATTCTTGCTTATTATCCTAACACATCAAATTGATTTTAATCATATCTTATTATTGTACATCAGTTCAAATATTTTTATGTTGCATGTTTATACGTATGAAAAATTGTATTCAATTTCAATCTACATTATGATATTTCAATCAAGTGACAGTACAGTGATTTTTTTAAATGTTTTTTTTTATGTTAATGTTGTCATATCGAATCAGTTTTAATTAAATTTTACTATTGTACATCAGTGAAGTTTTTTTATGTTGCATGTTTATGCGTATGGAAAATCATAGAATTTTAATCAAGTGAAGTGACAGTGATTAAAAAAAATTTTTTTATGTTAATTTTGTTTCATATTAATATAGTAAAACAATTATGAATAATAAGTCTTTAATTAAATGAAAGAAGATTTTTAAAGAGGGTTTCGTTTTTAATAAGAGATATATTTTTAAGAATTGTACGTAATTGTCTGTAATAAAAATTCAAATGGTAAAAAGAAATTGTGACTAAAACTGCTTTATTTTACGCTTTAACAAATTGATAATGCTTAAATAATTATTTTTCAAAATATATGCATATCAAATGTTTTATTATTACTATATTGGTTTTTTTCAGGCCTGAAAATATCAATTCATGTTTTAACAAATCTTTGAATCTAGAAGCTCCAGTAACTTTTGAAACAGTCGTTCAATTAATAGCATCTTATGACATGGGATGGAGTACTCGAGCCAATGGAAAAAATTATGACAGTCTTAACGGGTACGGTGCTATTGTTGGATTGTACTCTCAAGCCATATTAGGTTTTTCAACATGTAATCGTAAATGTAAAAAATGCGACAACGGATGCAGCCCTTTTGATCATGACTGCAGACTCAGCTTTTATGGGTCCGCTAAAGCTATGGAAGGTTATGCTGCTAACAAAATTGTTAATGAAAACAGCATATTAAAATCAAAGAATGTTGAAATAGGTATATTTATAGGAGATAATGACAGCTCTGCGATTGCTGCTTGTCGCCAAGGAGCTACGCATCAAATTAGTAAATTGTCAGATATTAATCATACCTCAAAAGGAGTAAAAAAGGAGTTATATGGCATTGAAAAAAATTACCAAGAACTGAAATCAGATTCAATAAAATATTTGCATAGGTGTTTCACCTACGCCGTCGCACAGAACAAAGGTAATAGTAAAAATATGGCTTCAGCTGTTCGGTGTATACCGTACCACGAATTTAACAATCATGACATGTGTGGTCAATGGTGTGGTTTTGTAAGTGACAGGGAAAACTACGACCATAAGATGGTTCCCGGAGGATTGAAAGATCAAAAGCTATTTGAAGAATTGAAAAATATCTTTGACAAATTAGCTAATAATGCAGAAAAATTTTCAATAGGTGCCTCTAGTAATGTTAACGAAAGTTTAAATGCAAGTATGGCTGCTAAAGCACCTAAGTCTAAATGTTTGAGTTTATCTGCGTCATCTGACTACCGTTTTGCTGCTGTTGTTTGTCAAAAGAATATTGGTGACTGTTATACCAGTAACATTTGTGGCAACTTGAAATTATCTCCAGCAAAGAATCACAGACAATATATTGATAAAATAATAAAAAATAAAGTGAAACGAGCATTGTTTATTAAGACTCAAACTTTCAAGAAAAATAAAATTTTATTGCGTAAGAAGAAATCTGCGTTGAGACATAAAAAAGAACAACTAGAGGGAACTACATATCTAAGTAACTCAAATTTGCTTACTGAGCCCGCTGTGCAGGATGCACCGTCCTTGAGCGACGACGAGGAAGGTACATTAAAAGAAAATTGCCCTGTTATCTATTTTGACTTGGAAACAAGTGGGTTGCACACCGAATGTGATATTCTGCAGATAGCTGCTAAATGTGGTAAAATTTCTTTCAATGTTTATATTTATCCCGTTCAAGATATTTCAGCAGCTGCCTCTGCTATTCATGGCTTGAGAAAGTACGAAGGAGATCTTATGCTACAAAGCGAAAAAGTTCATTCGGTTTCGCTTAGAATCGCTATGGGACAGTTCCTACATTACTTATTGCCGTTCAATAAGAAATGCTATTTAGCTGCGCACAATTTGAATTTCGATGGACCCAGACTATTAAATGCAATAAACAAATGTTCCTTAACTGATGAATTTTCGAAAGTTCTCGAAGGATTCATAGATACTTTACCAGTTATAAAAAAATGTACCGAACGCACTGGTAAAGGTGCTTGTACCATTACAAGTCTTGCTAATTGGCTAAATATTTCTTCTTTGAATGCTCATGACGCTACCAAAGATGTTGCAATTTTAGAAAAAATTATTAAAAAACTAGCAATAAGTTATGATCATCTAGTCAATTGTGGTCATAGTTATGTGCAAATCACTGATAAATGGTTAGATGATGCTCGAGTAAGAAGATTATTGCCCACACTAAACCCACTTCTAAATGTTGTTGGCAATGAAATTAGGAAAAAGCTAATTAGGGCAAACATTACAATTGAACTCTTGAAAACTACTTATTTCAGTTATGGAATAACAGGAGTTTTTGATTTACTTAGTGAAAAAATAAATAATAAGCCTATTGTAACGGCTCACAAGCCGACAATAAAAAAAATTGTTGACTGGTTAGAAAGTTGAAGGTGTAACGGTACTTAAAAAATTTAATTTTATAATGTGTTTTATTGTTCAATAGTATTAAATTTAAATTGCAATTCAAAAAGTGATGTGAAAATTACACAAATTATTATTTTTCTGGTGGTAGATAATAAAACTATTGCTACAAGATAATTATTAGTTGATTTTTAATTTTTTGGTTCGATTTGTAATTCTTTACAAATCAAAGTAAATAAAATATCATTTGTAGTGTTTTATGATACAGATGCACGCAGCTATTATATCTATAGCTATAGAAATCGTCGTCCGTCATATATGGCGGCGGCGGTGTTGCCAAGTCTTGCTTGTTTTGCAAATGAAAGACATAATTTTGCATTATATTTTCATTAAAAACTTCTGTAATATTCCATGAAATAATATTATTTTTTTTACATATTTTTTCCTAGAATATTTACGGATAGATAGATATAACTTTGAGGAGTTTATTATTGTTTTTTCTATACCAATTTTTAGTTTAAAGTTCAGAATTATTAGGCTAATGGCTTGTGGCCATAAGAGAGTATGTAAAATTTAAATCAATATAACTTTTTTAATAACCCATGAATCTAGTTGAAACTTTGCAAGTAGCTTTTTACCGTCAATATACACGCATTTACAAAAAATAAATATTGTAGCATTGTTTCGACTGATAGCCTATACACCCTTAATGTGCTAATTTGTGTAAACAGATAGATGTGTTTGACGGGTTGCGGTGATCCAGTGACATAATAAACTAGCTTATAGATAGGACCGTTACACACAACAAAAAAAAAACGTAAAACAACACACAAACAATAAATAAAAAATATGTATATGTAATAATAAGATAAAAAAAAGAGAAATAACAAAACACAAAAAAAAACTATTACAGCAGCGCTCGGAGAGCGCGTGTCCCTTGCTTTATCAGCAAAGGATTCCGAGAGGTGGGCATGTCACGTCGATACTAAGAGAGCACACGTGACCAACCATGACAACTAATCAAATGTCACGAGAACACACATGACTGGTTATGGTATCTAATCGGGTATCGGTAATTTAACTACCTATCATACCAATTGTCATCCCTCCCGGGAAGATTTGTAAATTGATCTAGGGAGATAGATTGAGCTAAGCTCGTTCTCCATAATATTTCCGGGAATATTACTCACCGCATATTAATTTGGCAAAAATAAGGGAAGGGGCACATCAGCCTATGGTATAAAAAGGCTGGATCAGGATCCGCGATTACCCATACTCATACTCATACTAATTCTCACTCACTCACTCAGCAAAAGAGTAGTAACTCAGTAATTCTGTAATTTAGTTATTGTATTATTTCTAAGTTTTGCTACCCGGCTACTCAGAACCGGAATTCTACTCTGCTAAGCATTATAAATTTGTCTTTTCAACAATAAATCTTAATCAAGTGCAAACACCTGAGACTGTTTCATAAAATCTCTTCTGAAGCCCAGTCCTAACAAGGTAAGAAACTAAGTTATCTACCTAAAAATACCACATATAATAAAGGCCCTATCCCTTTAACTAACCTCAGCTTACCTCGTGACTAAGATCCAACTTTTACCAACATGACAGTATTTTAAACATTATTACGTCTAGTCATAACATCTCCTCGTCTAGGCATAACATTAGATTTGAAATAAGAACATTTTTGTTTCTCTTTTTTCCTCAATGTAAGTAGAAAAATTAATATAATCTATTAAAACTAATCATAATTAATAATTAAAAAAAAATAAAAAATAAATGTTCTTGTAATCTTCGTTTATTATTTTTTACCATAGTAATATATTGTTGAAGTATTATTGAAGTATGATACCAAGAGATTTGGGTAAATTTTATCAAGTTATTGGATTACACATAAATGGTAAAAGTAATCTTCAGATTGCTAATATTCTCAATATTCCTCGTCGAACCGTAGACTATAATGTAAATAAATTTAAAAGTAGCGGCACAACAAAGTCTGTTTGCGTAACAGACGTCTTGCAGCTGGACAAATCACTGCTGATGTAAATCGGCATTTAAGAAAATCAGTGAGTTGCACAACGGTAAAACGTAGACTAAATAAGGACGGATTGTTTGGAAGAATTACTGTAAAAAAACCATTTCTGCGGAAGAACAATATCATTAAAAGATTAAAATAGGCTAAAGAACACAAAAATTGGATAATAACAGATTGGAATAATGTATTGTGGACCTACGAGTCTAAATTTCAGATTTTTGGTACTAAAAGATCAATTACTATTCGAAAACGTGTTGGAGAAAAATATTCAAAAAGTTGTATTGTGCCAACGGTAAAGTACGGTAGAGGATCTATTATGGTTTAGAGCTGTTTTAGCGGATCAAACATAGGAGATATTATAAAAATTGATAAATAAAGAAAAATACAAACAGATTATTCAATGACATGTTGTTTCTTTAGGCTCACGCTTAATTGGTCCTGGACTTATTTTCCAGCAAGATAATGATCCCAAACATTCTTCTAATATATGCAAAAATTATATTACGAATTTAGAAAGACAAAAGAAGGCAAAAATGTTGGAAGGGCCACCTCAATCGCCAGATCTCAATCCAATTGAGTTATTGTGAGAAGAACTAGATAGAGCCGTGAGAAAAAAACTTCCAACTTCTACAAAAGATCTATGGAAAATAATATAAGCAGAATGGCAGCAGATTTTATCAACGGCCTTGGAGAAACTAATCAAGAGAATGCCCAGACTTTTTAAAGCTGTTATAAAAAGCAAAAGCCATCATTTCGACAAAAAGAAGATTTAATGCGTCTGCAAAAAGCTTCATCTGAATATTTTTTTTTCTTCGTTTCAAATTCAAGTTTATTGAAATTAAATTTACAAAATTGTTCATGTAATGTAGTGTCGAATAATTATGAATATTTCGGCTGACGAGTTTTGATGTACATATTTAAATTTTCTTGACAATGAAAAAATTTGCATTTTCTATTCCCATGTAACATTTTTTAACCTAATTTCTGTGTACCATACTTCAATAATATATTAACAATATATTACTATGGTAAAGAATAATAAACAAAGATTACATGACTATTTATTTTTTATTTTTTTTTTAATCATTAGTTATGATTAGTTTTAATAGATTAGATTAATTTTTCTACTTACATTGAGACAAAAAAGAGCTACAAAAATGTTCTTATTTCAAATCGAATATTATTTTCATGACTGTTGAGTTTCAACAAACCTATATCGCATCACGACTGTTTCTTAATAGTTGTTACGCTGATTCAGATTTTTCGTTGATCGAAATATGCATACAGTTAAAATTTGTCTATAGTAAATAGAATAGCTTCACGTATAAATCATCTTTTTCATTGTTCCAAAGTGAAGAAAAATGAATTTTTCTATGATTATTAAATTTCGTTTACGCGTCCTCCTTATAAAATAGAGCATTTTCTTCCAAGTAAATTTTTTTATGTGATTCGAATTTTCCGAGATAAAGAGCAATAAATATAGACGCTGTTTTTGAATGAAATGCTCATATACGAGGGTCGTTTGAAAAGTCTGTGCAAAGTCAGAGAGATGGCGCTACTAGTGCGTATCAAGGTTATTTTCAGTTAGTGGCATATCTTGGAAGAGCACACACCAAGTTTCAGCCAAATCGGCCAATTACTTTGCGTTTTACATTCGTTTCAAATCAAAGAAATCGAGTGGTTGTAAAAAAATGGACGAAAAAGAATTTCGTGTATTGATTAAACATTACTTTTTCAAAAGCAAAACGCCTCAGGAGATTCAACAGACTTAATAAACATTATGGTAATTGTGCACCTTCGATTAGAATGGTTTATAAGTGGTTTCAAAATTTTCGGAGTGACCATATGAGCACAAAAGATGCTAAACGTTCTGGATGCTCCGAAAAAGGCGAAGACAATTCCTTCGGCCGGAAAGGTTATGGCGACTCTCTTTTGGGATTCGCAAGGAATAATCTTCATCGACTATCTAGAAAAGGGTAAAACCATTACGGGCGAATATTATTCATCGTTATTGGATCGTTTGAAAACTAATATGAAAAAATGGCTGACGAGGAAAAGATTTTATTCAAACGAGGAGGTGATTGTAGAAACGAATGCCTATTTTACAGACTTGGACAAATCCTATTATTTGGAAGGGATTAACAAACTAGAGCAGCGTTGGATGAAGTGTAGAAGCCTAAAAGGAGACTATGTTGAAAAATAAAAAAGATTTATTAAAATAAATCAAGCAGTTTTTATTTTTGCACGGACTTTTCAAACGACCTTCGTAATCGCTGAATTTAGATCAACAGCATTTATAAATGAGTGTTTTGGATAGTATGATAAATGAGCTACAAAATGCTTTATTTAGATTTTTTCTACGATTTTTTTCGAAATGTCGAGCGGTTAAAGAAACAACAAAAATTTAGTATTTTTTGTTTTAACATTCGCTCCCCCTATTCACAAGAGAAATATGTTAGCATAATTTTGCAATACATCATTCAAAAGTATGTGAAAAGATCTTTTAAACGAGCCATCGCAAAGCTTTGTATATTTATTTCCAGCCAAGATATGGAGTTTCAAAGTCAGAGTCGTTTTGTTCTCTGGTGGGCAATGATTATTGGGCGGGAGTGTATGTTGTATATCATAATATAATACGTATATTGTGTAAATTCCATTTAAATCACATATTAAATGTAGCACTTTGATACGTGACATCATGAAAATATTGATTCTTCTACTATTTTTATGATAATTAGCTATAGTGAACTTTGACTCAACCTAATTTAAAAATATATTCAAATATAATCGTTGCTGTTTAGTTTTCCATGTATAAAAGAATATTTACTCGTTTTTATTTATTTTTAGGAACAAATCAATAGTTTAATGCATCCAAAACTTGCTAAAATAAAGTACACATGCGAAGATAAATGCAAAGAGTAATTTTTATGCATCTTGTGCATCTGTATATGTGCTTTTGGTTTTCAACTTATGTTTTATGCGAAAAAAA